ATCAACACTTGAATGTGGGGAAGTTTCATTAAAAAAAGCAACATTTTGAACATTTGCATTTGTTGTCAAAGACTTCGTATGGATGGATTCAGATGATGAAACGAGTCCATCAACACCTCAAAGCTTCACAGTCGTTTCCTCTTCATGGGTTCAACATTTCACTCTGTAAAGTTCGTCAGTTTTGATTTATATGCTGTTGAATGTTTGACGATGGTGTTATTTTCCGCAATGCTTCTATCGCTTGTTTCTGCTTCTTCTTTACTTGTTTTTTTGATTGTCTACTCTTTCAGGAGATGTGTAATAGCGCCCCCTACCGTATGACAGTGAAAACACGGGAAGCCTGAAAATATTTATAGCAACAAAACTAATTTGAATGGGTTAAATCAGGTGGAATCCCCACTATTGCAGGTTACCACATTTTACAGTGCATTTTAAATGTCTATAATATAACTGGTAAAACTTTGCAATAAGGTTCCATTCATTAACATTATTTAATGCACTAACATGAACTAACAATGAGCAATGCATTTGTTACAGTTTTTATTTAATCTTCGTTAATAAAAATACAACTGTTCATTATTCGCTCCATTAAATAATATTAGCAAATACAACTTTTAATTTTAATAATGTATTAGTAAATGTTGAAATTATCATAGATTAATAAATGCTTTAGAAGTATTTTGTTAGTATATTTTAAATAATATTAATAAATAGAATCTTATGGTAAAGTGTTTTTGAGCAATTCATTTCCATGACAAATGTTTATGATTAATGGATAATTATTAAATTATGATAAAACATAATATTTTAGAGCTGAGATCTGAAACTAAATCATGCAAAACTTTTCTTCATGATATTTCAAAAGTTCATATAATACTCGAGTATGATAAAGATGAACAGAACTGGCTGTCCAAACTAGAGCGCTCAAGTTGGAGACTCATATCAAAGTATTAACATTAAGATTAATACATGCTTTAGAAGTGTTTTTCATTATTAGTATATTTTAACTGTTAACAAATGGAATCTTATGGTAAAGTGTTACACACCTTTTACAATAAACAATACATTTCCATGACAATCGTTTATGATTAATGGATCATAAAGAAGGTGAGCAATATTTAGTCAACATACTCATATTTTAGAGCTGAGATCTGAACACTCGAGTATGATAAAGATGAACAGAACCGGCTAGGTAGACCCGACCGGACTGTGTAATATCAGAGCCGTAATGAACAGATTTAAGGCAGGAGACGGGGTGATGGAGGGAAGATGCTGGAAGAGTCATCACGGATGAGCAGCGCAGCTGTTTATATACTCTTCTGTAATGATTGACAGGATCAGATGAACCAGATCCTCCTCAACCTTGCTCTTAAAACTCCATAAAGTAAATCTTCTTTGTGGAATACTCAGACTGATAACGATACTAGTCTGGCATCTGGATGTTTTACATTCAGCTACAGTTACATATTAATAGATCCTGTATAAATGTGTAGTTGTAAAAGCATTGTGTTCCTGAATAACGTTACACGTTCCAAAATATGCTGTACTAATATCAGCCACACATGTTCTGAAACCGCATGATGGATCATCCGAGGCGGTGCGTAATATTGTCAGCTTTGCAATGGTGACGGATGACAGTCTTCACAGATCCTGACGCATGCGGTTTCATCGTCGCGAGGGAAACCTCCAGACAGACTCCAGACGCACTCGTGTAAACAGGATGTGCTTTTATTTTCCGCTTGATTTCCTGCCTAAAGTGTTTCCCAGACCAGGCCCAGCTTTAAGAGACTTTCCTACAGGTTTAATTGGAAGTCAGGTTTCATTTAAACTCAGCGTGTTACTCTATGGTAAAAACAGCCGCTGATGCTTTGCTCAGCTTTAAAAGTGTTTTCTCATCATCTCATCTCATCTCTCATCATCCCATCTCATTAGTATGCATTGAGCATGATTCATTTTACATGCATGCATTGACAGTATTTCCTTTTATGACATTTAAAGACAAATGTTTACAAATCCTCTGAGATTCACAGAATATATTACAGTTAGTTTAGCGTCTTTTTCTGATAACATTTCTCCATCATTTAAAGCTTATTAAAGCTTGCATATAATAGAATAGAATAGAATAGAATAGAATAGAATAGAATAGAATAGAATAGAATAGAATAGAATAGAATAAAGTTTAATGTTAATTGTAAATGAATATAATAATTATATTATATATTATAAAAACAGAGTTTGCTCAAACACCTGGGTATCTATTCCAGTTTTGGTAAACTACAGTTTTATATGAAATGTGTCCTTTTTTCCAGCAAGGACATGTTAAATGAATCTAGAGCGACAGTAAAGACATTTATAATGTTACATTTCTAGTTCAATTTACTGCTGTTCTTTTGAAATTTCGGTATCCACAAAACTATTAAGCAGCACAACTGTTAATGGCTGCTAAAAATAAATAAATTATATTATTTATTTCTAATAGAAAACAGTTCAAATTTAATAATTTTTCACAACATTGATGATTTTATGGTGTTTATAAACAAACAAAAGCAGCCTTGGTGAGCACAAGACACTTTTTTTCAAAAAACAAAAATCTTACCAACACCAAACTTTTGCACATTATAATCTATTTCATAGTTCTTTGTGTTTGGACTGTGAAAAGTCGGATTATTTTTACATAGCAAGCGCTTGCAACATGATCGTTCTTTGACCATTCCACACCACCTGTCAAAATACATGTCTAATTCTTTATTTTTAGAATAACAATAAAGTAATCAAAACAATGAAACTGACACAGGTCGGTTGCTGTGATGAGAGTAGTTGCAGGATCTATTAGCAGCAGTCACTTTATTTCACAACTTTAGTCAAAATAACAAGCACATGAAGGAGAAAAAGAGAAACCAACTAAAGAGCCAACTCGAGAAAAGCAAAGCGACTAAACACCTACATGAACGGCCAAAGAACAACTCAAACAGAGCACTATATATACACACAAGTTAACTGAGGGAGAAAACAAGAGACAGGTGGGGCTAATCAATCAAACAATGTAACTATGACAACAAATGAGAAGCAGGAACATAGGAAACAAAGACAATACAAACATAGATCTAACAGAAACAAACTGTTTGAGCTGCTTATTTGCCTATGTTCTCGCTCTGCAAACGGTTCCTTCTCACGAGGTTCACTCTTTAACAAATCTGAAGAATGCACTCATTTGCAGCTTTTCTTCACTACTCATCCAGACAGTTTGAATAAATGTTGTGGAAAATTCCCTGAGAATGAATTATTTATAGCTAAAAGGAGGGCAAAATCTGTGCTGAATGCCATCTCAATGGCTATTGTTTCGAATCGGCCCAAAGTGCATGACTGTAGGTGTACATGCACACAATTGTCCATTTTAATTTAGTTCTGTAAAGAAATCCAGGCATTCTACAAAACTAATTTTCGGACCAGGATCATGCGAAACTAATGTGGAAAGGTCTCACCTGTTTGGATATTCTTTGATGACTTGGTATATGGTGACCTTGAGTGTGATGTTCTCATATCTGACGGGACTTTGATCCTTATAAATCCTGAACTCGGCCGCGGTCACCGCCTCACCTTCGGGAATCTGAGTGAGGTCGAAGCGAAACTCCCTGTAGTGGCGTCTGTGATGGGAGAAATCCTTATCCCTCTCCACTGCACGGAAACACAAAGCGCACAATGAGAAGCTGCACATTCGATTCACACTGTAGGACTATCACACACAAGTTAAGTGTCGAGAGCTGCTTTCTTTAAAAAGTCATTCATCAAAATGGTCAACATTCCACGCCTAGTCCAAACATTTGGACGACCAACAAAAGCAATATCCAGTCCATTAAAGCAGGCATCTGAGCACAGGTAGCAGCGGCACAGGCCTTTCCCTGTGTCCGTGATGAATGAGCTGTCAGGGAAGAAAAACAGCCCGTCGCTAATAACACACTGCGCTCGCAGAGCAAAGCTGACAAGACACAAATTCAATGTTTTTGTGAACAAGCTTTCTGACCTCCCAAGATTCTCATTTCTAATCTGCAGAAAATAGCATGTGGGTGAGAGGTTATCACTGTCAGAAATGTAGTGCTACCTCTTAAACATGTCCTAAATGGTGGAGACCTTAACGAGGAAACATATTTGATATATAGCAAGTGCCTGGTAGATAAGGCTTTCTGCATATATCTGGAAACTGCTCTGCCAGATGGCTATCAAACACTGCATTCCCTCGAACAGGCCTGTGAGCGTTCAGGAAAGCACCATGCCTACAGTATCATACAGTATTCAGTCTGACTTTCAGAAGCACAAACAGTTGCTAATTATCAGTGCAGTTTTCAAGATCACATCATTTTCATTCCAGGTTGCCATCAGCAGTGAAATAAGTCATTACGTGATCATTTTCTAGAATTTTTTTTTGTTTATGTTTTCTGAGCTGATACCATATATATATACAGTATATTGTTTTATTATATATAAATTCGTTTTATTTTGGTAGAAACTATGGTACATTTTTCAAAGGGAATAAAGTAGAGATACACTACATTTCTCTGATTATAACGATACAGAAAAAATATCTCCCACCCAATGCTGTAAACTACACAGCAAACCCTCTCGTTTGGTACATTACTATAATATTAGAGGTTTTTATTGACAACAGAGCCCGAACTATAATATTGAACTGCTATTTATTTTCAGATATAATAATTACACTCAAATAAAAACGGAAATGTTTGTATACAACTTAGTTGCACATTAGGTAGTTTTCATAAACACTTACATTTATTCAAACATACATATATTATTAACAAATAGACTCTGAATGAACTGTGACTCTGATAACTTTCCTGAGGGAAATGCAACATTGTTCACAAGCGGTTTTATTGACGTCTTTCTGTGGTTGAAACACTGATTGAGAGATTACATGAGACATGATTCATGATTAAGTTGTACTGTATATTTCAACATACTTTTTGATGCTCACGCATTTTTTTTCATGCTATAACTTGTAATAAAGTGGAAGAAAAGACTAGCGATAACGTCACATTTAAGAGTGTCAAAACGCCATTTATTATTTAAAGTCAAGATAAAATGGACAGAATTTGAAAGCTGAGACTTTGTTTCTTATCAGAAGTAACAAGCACAAAGCTCTTTGTGATTATTGGATGTGAGGCGTTAAAAATCATGTTTGATGTGGGAAAAACCACGGACCGACATCCCTGAGCTACAGGGTCAAATAGAGCCGGTTTTCTCTGTGTTATTGTCGCATTAACTTTGACAGCCCTAAATTCAACACAAGAGAGATTTTCTTCTTCTGATCATCTGCTGGTTTTAAACAATCGAGAAAATAATTGCTTTTATATATACAGTATACACAGTATTAATGTGTTCCAACATAAAATCCTTTTTTTTATTGACCTATTTTCGTTAAAAGATAGGGGTGGAAAGGCATTTTCTTTAAATGACAGAACTGACTGATTGAAAAACGTACTTTTAAAATGAATGTTTGGTAGAGATGAAACTGAAACTGAACACTGATTGTTGTTATTACTGGACTTCAACACACAAAGGAACTAACTCGTGTATCCGTAGCCTAAAGCCTTGCATTCGTACGATGTACAGCACTGTGTGTGTGTGTGTGTGTGCGTCGTGGTGCCGGTGAAACAGCGCAGCTCGGCCTCTCTGATAGTTTATCTACAGTGAAAGTCTGCAGTTACTTAACACGCAGAGGTCAGAGGTCAGGCCACAGTTACAGCAGCTGGCCAGACTCAACTCCAGCATCCTGAATGCTAATGAACAACAGAGGATGATGGGGATATAGTGCTTTCCGGCCAATACACAGATATTCTTTCATTAATTCAGCGCATTTATTTCAAGAGATCATTTAAAGTAAAAGTATATTTCGAGCGCATGGCAATGATCCAGTTTTAATCTTTGAACAGAGGCTTAAGCTCTACTCATAGTTAGGTTGTTTGTCTTCTACTCATTATTTCCTATGGCTGTACTTTCTGATAACTCCATAGTAGACAAGCTGTTTTTATAAACCCATGAACTACAACATCAACAAATTGTGTCCTGAAATGCAAGGCTCCAGTCCTTCAGTCGAGTGTGTAATGCAGTCACTACTACTAGCCACTTTGGCAGGTTGAATTTTATATATAATGTAGTATACATTTTTCAATTGTAGTCTTTTAAAAATGCATCTGAAATAATAAACTAAGTGCAATGTAGCGTTGACAAAAATATAAGATCTGAAAGACTTCCAATACTCATTTTCTTCAGAATAGACACACGAGAACAACTGCTCTTTCTCTCTCTCTCATCTCTCACACACAAACCCGCCTCCACTCACTCACTCGTTTCATTCGCTCCGGATTAGTATTGTTGCAGTTACAGGGTTTGAATTTTGGCGTGGGATTGTGTGTATTGCGTATACTTTTACTCATTCAAAGCGCGCACACATACAGCTGCCTCTCAGTGCTAAATTTAGTTATTTTTATTGCACTTAAACATTCAAATACACACAAAATAATAACAAAATGATGAGTATGCACGTAAACACAGTCAGTTATGATTTAACATAAACAGTTGAGAAAGAAAACGCATGTGTAACAGTATAATGCATCCGTGCGTCAGGTCTTAAAGTGACAGCAGACTAATACACCAGCTGCAAAATTATTAAAAATATCTACCGGTATATGGAAGTTTTCCCCCATGGTATCGATGTCAGAATTGTGGCCAGTGAAAATGCTGAGTGGCTAGTAACTTTTATCCAGTGGCTGGTGAGCAAAAAGTCAATGTCAAGCCCTGCTAAAATCTTTTTAGCACTTGAGTCTGATTGTAGATTGAAAGCGCTTTAAAAGCAGACGCTGTACAAGCCCTGATGAGTGGAAACACATGGAGCGCAGCTCAGGTGATGATGGGGACTCTACCTTAACACACACACACACACACACGGACATATCTGAGCCCCGAACTTTGTTTATACTGAACCCCCTTTTGCATTTGTCTGACAAATCCATAAAAACAAAACAGCATATCCGTTTTTTGTGATTCATCCGGGTATGAATTTCTATGCTGTGAATAAATTACCTTCAATGGAAGAACCAACAAAAATATGGCAAAACCAGCTTCTAAGGCATAAATTAGATCTGCAAAGCATGAGGGGAAAAAAGGCAGTAGCTACAGGCACCAGATTAGCAGATTTAGAGGAAAAGCGGCCTTTCTTCAAGCTCTTTCCTCTGCTTAACAACAGGAAGTAATTAAGCGAATTATCCTCAGGTCAGACAGTCACTCGATAAGTTTACATGGACTGTGAGGTGAGAGGTCACAGCCACTGAAGTTGTATACAGTTCAATCTTATCACAGCATTCTTCAAATAACAGCAAAAAGCAGTTATTACTAACGACAGGATATTAGCAAACCCTGCATGTAAACGTCGAGCGTAATTTGCTTCATGGCCGTTTCACTACGGTGCCGTGCATGCAAGTGTATTCAGATATAATAACACTCTTTATAGCCACACTTATATTTTCTCTCTAGAACCTGCAATTGCCTCAGAGTTTCCAGTAACCATACAGTCCTATATATACACCGTTTATAGGGATTTCAAGGGCAGGGTACATGTGGACGACTATATTCCAGTAATATGAAGAAAAAAAAGCACCTGCTATTTTAACATTCATAGAAGTTCAGTCAATAACATTCTTTGGAATCACAAGAAGGCACTATATGTGAGATCAAACAAGATATTAATAGCTTTGGAAGAGATTATTTCAAGGACCCACGTGTTTAATAACATAAGACAAACTTGCTATAATATTCGAATCAATCACTTCAGTGCACAATATAATCAAATGAAGTCAAAGTGCATTATTTTTTAACTCTGCACTCAGATAATTCATTCATTCCTGTACAATTTAGCATTTTTAATTTTTTCAATAAGCTGTTTTCACTTCAATATCCAGCAAATGGACATCATCTAAAGTTTTTTTTCTTTGTTTGTTTAGCTAAACTTAAGAAGTGTGTTTACTCTTAGACTCCAGTGTGTCTGCTACATCCAACAGGTTATAATTTTACATTTTTATAAACTTGGTGAAGCACTAAATCTGTAATACTGCGACAAACCAAACGGTAGCTGGCAATTATCAATAATGAGCATTTTAAATCAGGAGCTGGGCTGTAATTGCATTCCTTCTGTAAACGAGCTCATATTTGAAGTGTAGCCTCCGTGTTCTGCGGTCTGAGACACCGGGAGGCCCTTTCTGACAAAAACACATGCAGCACATTTCCTAATTTTCTTACTTTTATAAAAAAAAAAAGGTTCTAAACAAAACTTCACAAGTCCTGCATAAAAGACCCCAGATATAAAACAAATAAATGCAGTGATTCTGATCACTTTCTGACTGGCATCAGCGCTGTAGAAATGTAAAATGTAAATGTTTATTTGCATTTGTTTTACTTTTTTTCTATAATGTGACACAATATGTAAGCAGTGTCACTGTACAACATTTCTGATAAATGCACAAACGTATAGAAATAAGGGTTACACTATATTTGAATGTGTCTTTGTTACAGTGTATTTATACATTTAAGTAATGAGTAATATTGAGTAACTGTAGGGTTAGGATTAGGGTTTGGTTTGGTTTAGGGTTACTTGCATGTAATTATGCATAATTTATATGTTATATAAATGTATAACAGTGTAACAATGACACAAAATAAAGTGTTACCGAAATAAGTAAAGCTATGGGGATACATATTAAAAAAATTATAATAATACTCTGCGGTTTTGATTAGATCAGAGGAACAAATTATGGAAACACTTTATTTTGATGGTCCCTTTTGAACATTCTGTTGACTATAAGTAACTTATCAACTTATTCTAACCCTAACCCTACCAGTCTAACACCCTAATGAGAGTTAGTAGACATGTAGGTGCAACGTTACTTACAGTCAACAGAATGTGTTAAAGGGACCATCAAAATAAAGTGAACCCCAAATTCCAAGTAGCCTATTTTAATAGTAAGTAAAAACAAATACTAGTATTATCGAACATACTATAGCATTATGGGACACCCAGTTCTATAGCATATACCTACCTAGATTGACAAAACTCATCACCATGTCCGCGTCATTCAGAAAGTTGTTGTCGTGCGCGCTGGCCAGCGGCGGGCTCTGACTGGTCAGTGGCGTCGCGCGGTACGGCTGATGCGCGGCGCGCGAGTATCCATGTGGAACTCCAGACGCGCTTTTACGCGGTTTCCCCGCGAGCGCCTTCCCGAGTATCGCGTCCTCCTCGTCGGTCGTCATCGCGTTGTACAGGTCCAGCATGAAGAGCGGTGCCGACGACCCCTGTTTCCCCGGGGAGAAGGGCCGGGGACGGTGCGGCAAGCCCAGGATGGAGAGGATTTCTCTCTGGATCTCGCGCCGCTCGTGGTTGCGCAAACGCCTGTAAATAAAGCTCGAGTGCACATGGTTGTCTCCTAAACCGCACTGAACCCCGTGAAGAAAGCCGAGACAGCTCCACAGAAGTCCAAATGTTGGCGCTCTCATCTTTCTCTCTCAGGATGATGCGTTCACCAAGTGAGTGCTGGGTTGATGATGGCGCTCTCCATGGTGCACCATTAATAACTTTGTTTCAGTGTCTTTACTAGCCTAATCAAGTCTTTTACTCCGTATATTTAAGAATAATCCTTCTTAGATTTCAAAGTGATGCCTCAGGTCATGCCTATTGCCACTGTTCAGGCAACATCTTTACTAATGCCATTCAGTTGCATTCTCAATTGAATGATTTAACATCAAACAAATACGAGAGAGAAAGAAAAACTTACAAGGACTCTTTTCCCCAGTGCATTTACTGTGAGCAGAAGCGCGCACTCTCAGGAGTCAGGGCATGGACTGGTGAAGTTGTGCGCGCATCAACACAAGACTACATCCCTGAAGAAGTGCTGGAAGCAGGAGTCCGTCCCACACTCTGGAGGGTTTGCATCAACCTCTAGCGGTCGTATATAAAACATCGTTGACCTGGGGCATGAATGCAAGCTCACCGTGAAATGAGAGACACTTGATATATGAGACCTTTCGTGATTAGTCAAAGGAGAAGTCCAGGCGGGCAAACACCTGTCAGCTTTATTTCAGCGGTGCTCGGTCTGTGGTTTATATTCCAGCTCGCAGCTATCGAGTGCACTTCGTAGTTCGCTATGGCAGTGCCATTCTCTGTAAAAGGGCTATTGTGAGACTTCTGCGAGTTTGCAAACTCAAATCTTGTAAACGCTGGCTTTAATAGCTAATGCTGAAGGATTATGATAGGATTATAACCTATACACCACGTATTCATTTATTTACTAAACTAAAATTCCATTTTTACTTTGAGTATTTAGTGAAGGACAATAATTTAGTATTTTTTCTTGTTATTAGAACATAAGAAAAAAATGGGGAGAGTTGTTGTTGTTGTTGTTAAGTCCACTGTAGTGAACAGAAATGACACATATAGGCAAAACAATGGGATTTTTTTTTCATTAACCAATCAATTTTTAGGTTTCATGATCTGAAAAAAAAAAAAAAACTTTGTAGATGATCCTCAACCATGTTATATAAGATATAACGGAATGAATTGATCTACCATTTTGCTTTATGCTATGCCCATAAATGAGTTCTCCCATTAAGTACAATGTATCTAATTTGCATATTATTATGTTCTTGGGGCAACGTAATGATAAAAGAAGTAATAGAAGTAAGATTTGGCAACATTTCTCATAATAATATCTAATATCTCATAGGAATATTGATATATAATTTATTTCCCTATTGTCGTGTCTCTAAAATGCCTGATTAAACACGCTGTAAGTCCTGCTGTCTCTACATGTATGAAATTAATGCCCTGTTTTGTAACAGAAAGTCATATTTTGATTAGAAACCCCAGAACATTTTCCTGAGATGTTGATTTATGGCGAGCAATTTGAAAAAAATGTCAGATATAAATTGGCATGGTAATTACAAAATATGATCATATTTCCATAAGAGTGCTAACTTCGATCACTAAATTAATGTCAGTCATTTTTAAAGACCAAAGAGAAGTTGTTGTCATGGTGAAACCTACAAACATATCTGAAAAGTCCTCTAACTAAATATATAGGCTATATTCTCCACTCAGTGGACAAACATGGATCAATGCTGTGTAGGACGCTCCTGATGAGAGACCCAGGACCCTGTGATAATGTAGCCTGCTGTATTAAATGTGAAGCATATTAAGAGTGAGCCCAAACGTTTTGACTGCTGTAGTGTTAAAATCCAAGGAATATCAGCTCCCCGTGAGGACACTTACATACAGTATCAGGATCGGATGAAGAGCAGGAAAGTCTCGTCAGGAACATCCTAAATGTAAGAAAGAGCAACAGCGCCATCTAGGACTGGATCTGGGACTCAACCACAAGAGAACGGCGTTTTCAACAGGAACAGGTTTGAGCTTTAATGCTAAATATTATTTCATGTAATCATTTAACAGTAATACTCCATAATCTCAGACTAGTTTGATTAGATTGCCTGCTACCTAGAAAAGTAATTCACTACGAACATAATTCACTTTTAGATTTTCCGGGGTTTTTTTTTCCGGTTTCATATATGAGTTGTGTCATAAGAAATAGGGATACTCTGCTGGAAATTATAGTACGCATTCACAGCCTCATAAATAATACTGTTTTTGTAAAAGAACATGAAGCAACAACAGCAACAAAAAATAATAAAAAAGGTTTTAATTAATATTATTAAAAGTCATTCAAACACATGAATGTTATAAAAAAATAATCACTGCAAAAATAAGAAAGCGCTCTCACAGGAGAAGCTGTAACTGATATCAGTTCTTATAAATAACAAAAAAATTATACATTTATTGGAAGGTGTGCTTTATTACACTCTTCTACACACCCTTTATCAACCAAGGGTAAAAGAAAGAAAATCAGAATTGTGTCTCATTTGCTGTAGAGAAAGGCGGATTAAAATGTACCATTTCAACATTTAATATAGATATCTAACCACACTCACACGTGTAATCTGAAGACTACGGAAAGCCTGGGAATATCAGAGGCCTGGAAAAGGTGTGGAAATGAATAAAATCTTAAACACTCATGGAAAACTCATGGACATCTCTATAGTGAATATATACTTTTTCTGCTCTAAAATATTACAGGCTAGAAATTACAATTTATTTTAAATAGATTTTTTTAAATGTTTCCTGTAAATCACAAATACCAGGAAAAGTCATGAAAATTCATTGGTCACAAAGATGTGGGAACCCTAGCCATATCTAAAGGGATGAGAACGAGAGAGACGAAGAAGTCCCAGGACAAACGCAGAAGGGACAGTAACTCTGGCGAGATCATAAATACGACGAGGCGCTGGGCTGGTGACGGATGAGGAGCGAGAGTGAGGAAGAAGCGAGGCGGCCACGTCTAGGATCTCTCCTCACACCGGATGCTTTTCACAAGCTGATGCGTTTCATTCCTCGTGACAAACAGCGTGAATAAATCATGGCACATCTCAGCTTGTGACAGTAAGACGAGTGTCGAATGGAGTTGTGGACAATCGCTGGTGTTAATGTGTTATTTACACTTTAAGAGGTACTTCATGTGTCCGTGAGTGTGAGACACTCTTGATCGTCCTGAGATTGGAAAGATTGGCTGTTTTCTCTCATTCACTGACTGTCTGCCTCTTTCAATAGTTTGGGCCTTTACTGTAAGGGTCTCTTCTCATCATTGCAGCGTAGCACATGTTGGGATGGCACACGCCGGGCTGGCCGGGCTCCCCGGGGTGTCCTCTCTTCCCCTCCTCTCCGCTGTGACCCGGTGACCCCGGTTTCCCTGCCTGTCCCGGTTTCCCCACTCCTGACGGACCCATCGGACCTGGAGTCAAAGAGATGTTCAGTGTCAAAGTGACATTCGGACAGTTTCTATGATAAAGCTTTCAAGTTCTTTGTGAGCTCATTTTAAACTACTGTCCACCATGGAAATAATTATGCCTGCTTATAATATCCACCCTGATTATTTAACTCTTTCCCTGCCAGCGTTTTTGAAAATACGCAACGTATTTGGCGCAGTCAGCGCCAGCATTTTTGATCATTTTCACAAAAGTTTCATGGCCCCCAGATTTTTGTTGTTGTATGAATATCTGAACATGCAATACTTCAAAAGAGAGAACAAAGCCTCTGGCTTTAAAAAAAAAGAAAGAGACCCGATTCTTTTTTTATCAACATTTGAATGTGGGGAAGTTTCATAAAAAAAAAAAGATACATTTTGAGCAAAAATCTGAGAAAATCTTGTTTTTGTCAAAGACTACATCTGAATTTAGATGGAAGCTTGTTTCCGCCACAGAATAAAAAATAAAAAAGGTAATTGTGACTTTATCTCACAATTCTGACTTTATAACATGCAATTCTGAGATAAAAAGTCATAATTGTTGAGATATAAACTCGCAATTCTGAGTTAATAACAAGATGTCATATCATTAATCAAATTTAGTTTGATGTACTATTAACTAGGGGTGTAACGATATATTGTATATGCATCGTGGATATTAAAAATTAATCACAAGAAGATGCATTTTTTAGTGATCCAATCACAAAAGGTCAGCCGAGGCACATTACTGTTTCCATCCGGTTGTAAGAGCCATGTTTCATATTTCAGAATTTATATTTTCACATTTTTATAATAATTATTTTTGAATATTGTTGAATATATTTCTTTGGTTTATATTTGTGACGTTCAGTGACGTCATTTTTGTAGCGCACGTGAAAAGTTTTTGATGCACATGTAATAAGTACAGATGCACAGTGTGAGAACTCAAAGCTTTTGACCGTTAATCATAATTAATATAGCATAAATTGGCTCACTATAGTAAGTTGTTGTGCGCAAGAGGATTATGCATATATAATATATTTATTATAGGATTATATATATATATATATATATATATATATATATATATATATATAATGCTGAATATATTGTATGATAATGCGATGGGAAATTAATATTCCAGTATATTAATAATAATAAAACATTAATATTCCAGTAATATTTTACCAGTAAAATAATACTCTACATTATTTTACTGGAAAATCATGCTCTGCTATTAAATAATTGTCAATACTTTTAATATTTAAGATGTTTAAATGCATGTCATCAGCGACACAGCATCCAGTATGTATCTGCTACTGACAGCTGGTTGTGGAGCGTTGTTGCTGTTCATAGCAGTTAAGGCCAGAAAATTAAAAATTATTTGGAATTGGAAAATGATTCCAAATAAAACTCAGGGCAAATGTGATCTCAGGGAAAAACTAAAATAATAAAAAAGTATATGACCCTTTTAATTCACACATGAATGGCCTGTTTAATAATTAGTGTTAGTGGTGGTTAGTATAGTATCTGCTCACCTGGTGGTCCTGGGAGACCTGGGTCTCCAATTTGTGATCGTCCTTGATTTCCTTTATCACCCTTTTCTCCTGGATCACCTAAACATAGCCAGAAAAAAATCATTTTGTGTGCTTCAAAACAGACAAACTAAATGAATATATGTAAATGTATGCTGATACAGATTTCACTGTGGAAGCTTTTAAAGGGTTAGTTCAACCAAAAATGAAAATTTTGTCATAATTTATTCACCCTTATGTCGTTTCAAACCTGTGAGACTTTCGTTCATCTTAGAATGTAGTAAAAATATCTTCATTTGTGTTTCAGAGACATTTCTGTCCCTCCATTGACAGCTACGCGACTACCACTTTATGTTCGCTGATCAATGTTTATTTCTGTTCATTATAAAAAGCGATCGTGTCTCTTCAGAAAATTTGGTCTAAACCGCTCATTTCATGAGGATTCGTTTTACAACCTCTTTATGAACTTTTTGAAGCATCAAAGTAATAATTGGAGGGACAGAAATCTCTCGGATTTCATTAAAAGTTCTTCATTTGTGTTTCAAAGATGAAATGAAAGTGTTTAGTCTGTGCCACTGAACACAAGGAACAGGTGCAGTGAATCAGTTAACCAACAAGTAACCATAGCAACCAGTGAACAGCGACAAAGGAAACCTGAACTAATGCAGGCAAACTTAGGCTCGGTTTATACAACACTGTTTTCAAATAAAAACTGAAAACTTTGTGTTTTGGCCGTTCATTTACACGACAACGGCGTTTTGAGGGCTTGAAAATGCCTCGGTTACGACTGTAGAAGAGGGAACGAGATGCTGCATCAATTGACACAGGGAACGCTTTGCGTGATGACGTCTCGAAGCACATGTGAAATCAGTCTAAAGGCCATTGCACACTGAGTCTGAAATTCGCATCCGAAATTTTCGCACGTAAAAAAAAAAATTCGACCTCCCGTTAAGTCAATCACGCTTGCACACTGCCTCCGAAACTTTCGTCCGTCATAACAAAAATCGGATCAGGTTCGATTTTCTGCGTTTTTCGCATCCGTAGCAAGCAGTTTGAATGGTGTTTTGACAATTTAGAGCCACCGAATCACGAATACGAAAAACGCATGCAAAAATTTCGGACTTCAGTGTGCAATGGCCTTAAGGATGTGCTGGAACGTCAGAGGCGGGTGACATCAGGAACCAGAAAACTATAAAGCCAGCCCAAAACCAAGCAGCGCTAGCTTCGTAAAAGTCTGAAGTAAGTCGGTGACAGGCACGTAGGAGATATGGCAAGATGACGCAGCGTCCCGTTCCCTCTTCAGGGAACCGAGGTTACAGTCCTAACCGAGGCGTTCCCTTTAAGGGGACCTCGCGCTGTGTTGATTGACGCTGAGGGAACATCTATGCCAACGCCACCATAGCAAGAAGTTACTGTCCTGTGTGAAATCGAGAAGAGCAGCACTAGGACCCTGGTGTAGAGTCCAGATTCATAGAGTAGAACCTAACAAATGTGTGCGGTGAGGACCAGCCTGCCGCATCACAGACATCTTGGAGAGCAACTCCTGACATACGGGCCTTGGAGGCCGCCACACTCCTAGAAGAGTGGGAACGGACTGACATAGGTGGAGGTTGTCCGACCGACTCATAAGCAAGTGAGATAGCCTCAACTACCCACTTGCTCATTCTCTACTTTGATGCTGGGGACTTTTCATACGCCACAGGGTAGCTCTGTGGACATAAGCGTCTAGCGCCCGGACTGGGCACTGCAAGTTATTCTTTTCCTGGTCCGGATTTTATAAAGGAGGACGACAAAAAGGCCTGCAGCACAATAGATCTAGCCACATTAGTGGGGACCTTAGGAACGTAGCCTAGGGCAGGGATAGGCAGGGTCGATCCTGGAGTGCCGCTGTCCTGCAGAGTTTAGCTCCAACCCTGATATAAACTCGCCTGCCTTTAGCATTAGTAATCCTGAAGTCCTTGATTAGCTTGCTCAGGTGTGTTTGATTAGGGTTGGAGCTAAACTCTGCAGGACAGTGGCACTCCAGGATCGACGTTGCCTATCCCTGGCCTAGGGTGAAGTAACGCTTTGACCATACCAGGTGCAAATTCCAAGCACGAGGGAGAAACCGACAGGGCTTGCAGATGTCCTATCCTTTTAAGAGAAGACATAGCAAGGAGGAACAAAACTTTTAAAGTCAGAAACTTGGCCCGAAACCTCTTTAAAGGGCTTGAAAGGAGCCAGGGAAAAGCATTGAAGGACAATGGCCAGATCCCATGTCGGCACCCTGGTGCGAGCTGCAGGCCTCAGCCTCAGAGTACCACGGAGGAAACGAGATACCAAGGGGTCTCTACCCAACGACATTCCACCCAAAGCAATGTGGTAAGCAGCTGTGGCCACCACATAAACCCACAAAGTGGACGGGGATAGACCTACAGTGAACGGCTCCTGCAGGAACTCCAGCACTGTACCAACCGGGCAGTTAACTGGGTCCAACTGATGGACACTACACCAAGAAGTAAAAACTCTCCACTTCAGGGCAGAAAGTTTCCTGGTGGAGGGAGCTCTGGACTGTAGAACGGTCTCCACAACCTCAGTTGAGAGACCCGTCCCTATGAGCTGGGCCCCCTCAGAGGCCAAGCCCACAGGCTCCACAGTTCTGGACGGGGGTGAACAATCGAGCCCCCTGCTTGGGACAGAAGGTCCCTCATGACGGGTAACTCTAGAGGAGGCCCGTCGAGGAGAGACACCAAATCGGGAAACCATACTCGGCCCGGCCACGAACTCGGTCCCTGCGAACTCTCTTCAGAACTCCCGGGAGAAGAGCGATCGAGGGGAAAGCCTTGACTACGTCTGCACCGTATTATCCAGTCCTAGAGGAGCTGGATCCGTGAGGGAGAACCAGAGCGGACAGCGAGACGAGACGAGCGGACAGCGAGAGCAATTATATAAAAGCAATAGCAATTATATAAATCAATGGAAATCTGTGAACATTCTGAGATAATGTACAGCGCTGTAGACACAGGCCTCGTCCACACTAATACGTTTTAGTTCGAAATCACATCTTTTTCTCTCCGTCTTGGCCTTCCCTCCACACTGAGACGGCGTATTTATTAATGAAAACTAAGCTTTTTGAAAACGCTTTCCAAAGTGAATACATTTGAAAACACTGTTCTCACATTGTATATGGACTGTGAAAACGGAGGTATTTAAAAACAATGACGTAAGTGTAGTCATGTGACGCATATTGAACCCATAGATATTCATGTTTATACCGGTATTGTGCCTGTTATGTGCTGTTCACTTTCACACTGTTGCTAAAATATGTTACTTCACACACTCTTCATATCACAGTCCTGCAAAGATGACAGAAAATTCACTCACATGAGAGCAGTTTTAGACCAAACATATAATGGTGTGTGTGCGACCTGGACGCTTCAGTGAATGCTGAGATATTTTGCTAAATCATCTCAGTGAGCTTTTGTGTGGTTTTACGCATGCGCTGTAAAGGTGAATTTAGTGTTTTCAAAAGTTTCTCATCCACACTGAAATGTCGGAAATTGCTAGTGTGGACGGAGAGCGTTTTGAAACGAAAACGCCGTTGTCAAATGTATCCGGATTAATGTAGACGTAGAAACAGTGTGATGTGTGTTAAGCATGTCTGTACCTTGCATGCCAGGAACACCAGGCCGCCCAGGTAAACCCCGCTGCCCTTGCAGCCCGTTAGAGCCAGATAAACCTGGGAATCCTCGAGAGCCATGAGGGCCCGGTGGCCCCGGAGGCCCCGGGGGTCCCACGCGTGTGTAGCAGTGCTCACAGCTTCTGTGGTGATTGTGCTGGCTACTCAACAGAAGACCAGGAATCTCCGCTGGAACCACAAAACAGAATCAGACACAGGAAAGCTTCTGTCAAAACTCGTGAATATATAAATTCAGCATTTAAAATGAACTTTGGTAACACCAGTTTAGGGTCCAATTCTCACTATTAACAAGTTGCGTATTGGCATGCATATAACTAGCATATCGGCTGTTTATTAGTACTTATAAAGCACATATTAATGCCCTATTCTGCATGATATTCTACATACCTTAATCCACCATACATAAACTTAACCTTACTAACTATTAATAAGCAGTAATTAGGAGTTTATAGAGGCAAAAGTCACAGTTAATAGATAGTTATAAGTGAGAATTGAACCCTAAACTAAAGTGTGACCTTTTTCACTCACCAGCCAATTTGGCCACTACCTGTAGTTAACTTCCTGGCCGTTCAGAACAAAAATATCAGAAATAAACTATATCAAAATGACTGCTTAGATTTAAATGTATATATTATTCTGAATCATTGAGTGCCTTAAAGTTTTATTACAGTCAATCACTGTTTGCAGACACCATACAAATAAAATAAAAAAGAGATAAAACAACTCAGTGGCTTCTCTTGTAAAACAGGATTTATTTTGTTGTGATTTCAAAATATATCTGACTCCAAAATGAATGTTTAATGGTGAACACATTGAAGATTGACAAGCTGTCAATTCATTAAGTGATCAGCTGTTTCCTCACAAGAGTCAGTGTACTGGATTTAATGTTTTGAAGCCTCATTAAACATCCATTTGAAAGCCGTAAAGTGTCCTTGTGTCCAGACAGGAATCACACACTGGACGCTTCATGTACTCGCATTCTCAAGATCAAAACAGTCAATCGTATCACCAGGCAAATGTTCACTTCAAGAACGAACAAAGTGACGTCAATCAATTTAGGTTTGAAAAAAAGTGCAAACGAAGAAAAAAAAAAGTGATCTATATTATTATATTTCATATTAATAGGCATAGACTTTATTCAAGTCACATAAAACACGACTTCTTACCGAAAAATGTACAATACAAATATCTGTCCAAAATCTGTGCTATTGTAATTTAAGGGAAAACTATGCGAGTTGCGCTCTGTGGTGCAGATTTAGTCTAGATCTACAATAAGCATCATGTTCTCACACAACGCCTCTTCGCTTACGATCCTCTCGACATGAGGACAGGACACTGTCAGTCTATACATGGAAAAACAAAGTAACTTGAGTAACGTAACTCAATTTGATGTAAATTTCAACCTTAAAGGGATACTCCACTTTTTTTGGAAATAGGCTCATTTTACAACTCCCCCAGAGTTAAACTGTTGAGTTTTACCGTTTTTGTTTAAGAAATGCTAATGGTCTTGTCCACTTCAATGATGTATGCTAAGCTATGCTAAAAGTGGTACCGTCAGAACCGGAGATCGGCTGAATGGATTCAAAAACGGTAAAACTCAACAGTTTAACTCTGGGGGAGTTGTAAAATGAGCCTATTTCCAAAAAAAGTGGAGTATCCCTTTAAGAAATCTACAAAATAAATCTTAATAAAAAAATATCTGTGCCAGTTAAAGGCACATTTCTGTGATGGGGAGGGCTTGGGTTAGGCCATACAAATATAATGGAAGACTGTGCAATGTCCTTACTAATATAGTCAAACAAACCTGTGTGTGTGTGTGTGGCAAGTTTGTAATAGGGTTATTGATGTTATTAAAAATGTATTAATTCAATATCCTTATTAACAGTCTCACTGTTTTCAGAATTAAAAACAAATTTTCCTTTAAAGGCTATATTTTCAAAAAATAAATAAAAAATATTTGCAAAGTATTTCATTTTTTTGGTAGGTGACCTGAACAGGATTTTTTTGTGCCTGAGATTCACTTGTATACAATAGATAAATGCCAGATCATTTTGGATACTCACATCGAAGGATGTCTCTGCAAATCTGCTGAATGTGTTGCTCGGAAAACTCTCTGCCCTGCAAAACATGATTTATTAATCTTTATTAATGTTAGTTAATATAAATCCAGCTGTTCATAGTGTGTTCATGTTAGTTCATAGTGCATTAACTAATGTTAACAAATACAACCTTTGATTTTAAAAACGTATTAGTAAATGATGAAATTAATATTAACTAAGATTAATAAATGCTGTAGAAGTATTGTTCATTCTTAGTTCATGTTAACTAAAGTAGTTAAGGTAATGAACCTTATTGTAAAGTGTTATCGTAATATTATATCCTCCATTGACTAGATGATCTTACAGGAGAGAAGGCATACACACACACACACACACACACACACACACTGAACAATAGAGTTATTAGGAAACATAACACATACAGGTCGTCCCTCAGGTCCAGGTGTTCCCGCGGGGCCGGTTTCTCCACTCTGTCCCCTGGGCCCCGAGGGTCCCGTCTGTCCTCGCTGTCCCGGGGGCCCCTGGTGGCCGTTCGGGCCCCTCTGACCGGGCTCTCCTACTGGCCCTTTCTGACATGCACACAAACACAGCTCAACACACTCACACTAGAGCTCATGGTGCCTGTACTCAGATCAGATATGTGCTCACCTCTCCTTTCTGCCCAGCTGGCCCAGTCAAACCCTGTGCGGAGACACGTCACACACACCAACTGTGTTACAACACAACTATAGCTTTACAGAGACACCTGTATGATTGGGCAAAATACTATGTGATGCTAGTTCAGGAAATTAGTCTCTGATTAAACACCTCATTAAAAATTCTGCAAAATCACTAGATCAAAATCTAAATGCTTTGTAGTAAATCCATAAAAAGTGTATAGTACATTTTTGCTGTCACTGTATTTCCCTGTACCTGTTTGAAAAATGAGCTACAGTGAAGAAGTCCCAACTATTTGGACAATTAAGCCACACTATTTGTTTCTCACCCTTACCCATCAAATAAAAACATAAAATGTTATGTTCTACTTAGTTATTTATTTTCTTTTTTTATGCAAAATTCTACTGTATGCAATAAAAGTGTTATAAAATGTCTTGCAAATGGCAATAAGCAAGAGAAACTACTCCATCTTGTGGTTGATTATGTATTTTCAGATCCAGCAATTGTTACTTATTATTAAAGTGTTTATTTTTATTTATTTAATCTCTTCATCCAGTCCTGTAATTCCTAAATGTATACAATTGAATGCGCTGTAGGTTTTTTTTTTTTTTTAAATAGTCAAAGTAAAATTTCTCCATAAATATAATATAATAATATGAGTGTGTGTTTTATATTATATACTTACAAGAACACCAGGTCTCCCAGAGTCTCCTCTTTCACCTTTCATCCCCTGTTCAATTGCATAATTTTTTTTTAGTAACATATTCACATATAATTATGTGGAGCTATTCGACTGTAGGACATCTTGGGATCGTGAACATCTATAGATAAGCATGTCCAATCAAATCACTCATATTGAATGCAACATGGGCTACTTCTGAAGTGCATTTGAGTACTTGAAATCTTGACAAATTAAACTTGTTTGTTTCATATATGTCAAAAACATTTATCATATGTCCTGCATTAAAGATCGGATCATGGCCTTGATCAGCGTAAATTCTAAATTCTAAAATTTACAAATAATTACCAAGTTAATATATTTTTTGTAATGCTTAAAAATGAATTAGAATACTTGAAATCTTTTACTTTTTCCTCATTTAAATTTCACAGAATATTTGTATTTTATGCTGTGTTCATCCTATAGGGACAGAAACATTCTGCTCCTTGAAAAATCCTCCATGAAGTGAATATGACTGCCAAATGAATCTGAAATAAAGGACAATCCTTCTTGTCACAGAGATTTTCATTTTCATAAAGCATTTTTTAAAGATATATTAGGGCCCTAAGAAATTAGTTTAATTTTTTGGCAAATTCCATATTTCCTCTCTTTCCTTTTTAATGGGTTGATTACATTTTTTAATCAAAAATGATTTCTAAATCAACTGAATTAATAAAACTTTGACACATTTATAATTTATTAAAATGTTAACAGAACCTTATGAAATGTCTTTTTTCCCCAGAAATCCTGTTTGTCTTTTAAAAAATTTCTGGATTCTGTATTTTATAATATAAATTCATCAACAAAAAAAGTGGAAATTAAACAAATGCATACATCTTTAAAAATGTAATTAATCTCTTCATAATCATATTTAAATATCAGTCTTTATGATTTGATGAAGTCTGCAGCCCTACATTTGATTTATTCATCCACATTTTGCCAAATTCCATTACATTCTGCGTTATGCAGTAAAATAAATTTTTATGGCTGGATTTCATGATTCCAGCGTGTTTTCCTCGGACCTCACTATAGTGACAAAAGCAACATCTTACATGTTATTGTAAGTATACTGTAATTAAATCTGAAAAATGTTTAGTAGAACCCACAAAACGGCCACATTTTCCACTGGAATACAAGCCAAAAGACTTTTGCCAACATTTACAAGTACATGTAACAAAAATTTTTTGCTTTTTTTTTTCTATCAGCAAAAATCGAGTTGTCTTAAGAGGAGGACTGAAAGTGTTTCAGTTAGAAGAGAAGGTTCCCTTTTAGACTAATAACATAGAGATAAGAAAACATTTCCACCAAAATCCTTATCCTTAGCTCTAGCAATTATTTCCCGTTTTTCCAGTAAACCACAACTGTAAATGGTTAACTTACATCAGCTCCTCTTTCACCAGCATCTCCTCTTTGACCCTATAAAAAACATTCACAGTAAGGTTAGTCAGAAAACTATGGAAGCTTGTTTCCGCCACTGAAAAAAAAAAAAAAAAAAAAAATTGCGAGATATGAAGTCAGAATTCTGAGAAATAAAGTCCCAGTTGCGAGATATAAAGTCGCAATTCTGAGAAATTAAGTCGCAATTGCAAGATATAAAGTTGCAATTATGAGAAAAAAAGACATAATTGCGACTTTTTATCTCACAATTCTGACTTTTTTTCTCGCAATTCGGACTTTATAACACGCAATTGCGACTATATCAATCAATTCTGTCTTTATATCTCGCAATTCTGACTTTATAACACGCAATTGCGACTTTATTTCACGCAATTCTGACTTTACAACACGCAATTGCGACTTTATATCACGCAATTCTGACTTTATAACCTGCAATTGCGACTTTATATCAATAAATTCTGACTTTATATCTCGCAATTCTGACTTTATAACACGCAATTGCGATTGTTTCCGCCACTGAATAAAATTTTTTTTACAAATAATTGCGAGATATAAAGTCGCAATTCTGAGAAATAAAGTCGCAATTGCAATTATGAGAAATAAAGTCGCAATTGCGAGAAAAAAAGACAGAATTGCGACTTTTTATCTCACAATTCAGACTTTTTTTCTCACAATTGCGAGTTTACATCTCGCAATTCTGACTTTATAACACATAATTGCGAGTTAAATATCAATCAATTTTGACTTTATATCACGCAATTCTGACTTTATAACACGCAATTGCGACTTTATTTCACGCAATTCTGACTTTACAACACGCAATTGCGACTTTATAACACGCAATTCTGACCTTATAACCTGCAATTGCGACTTTATATCAATAAATTCTGACTTTATATCTCGCAATTCTGACTTTATAACACGCAATTGCAATTTTATATCACGCAATTCTGACTTTATATCTCGCAATTCTGAGAAATAAAGTCAGAATTGCGAGATGTAAACTCGCAATTGTGAGAAAAAAAGTCAGAATTGTGAGATAAAAAGTCGCAATTACCTTTTTATTTTTCATTCTGTGGCGGAAACAAGCTTGCATGCAAATATACGAACAAATTAAATTAGAACTTCTATAACTAGATAAAAAGAATCCAAATAAAGAAAGCTTTCTATTATTTCACATATTTATTGACAAAAATGTCTTTGTTGGAGAAAAGTATGAGAACCTCTAGGTCATCAGTGGTAATTAAACAGGTAATTCGAGTCTGAAGTTTTGATTAATGGGATAAAAGTCAGGAGTGTGTTTATCAAGCCCAGCCCGACTGAAAGAACAGAAACCTGGTAATAGTCAGGTCCTTCCCTCATCATGCTTCAATCAAAAGATATTTCTGAGGACTTCCCAAAAACCATGCTGAAAAACCATGCACATTTCCATATGTGTTTTTGCGTATTCGTCATCCTAAAAATTCGTTATGAAACCTTGCACGCAGAGTCCGATGCGTATTAATGAATCTGTTGCGAGAGAACTCACAAAACAATACAAAATGGAGTCTTCAAGCAGTGAGGATGATTTTGTTGTCCTCTCTCTTCTTAAAAAGAGAAAAAGAAAGAGGAAACAATTGGGTCCATCCAATCCTGAGATTGTGTACAGAGGAAGGAGAGTTCGCTGCGGGATTATCCTGAGAGTTTAAAAATTTACTTTGAAAACAAGACCACCAATTTCCATGAACCAATTGATCTTGAACCGTTCTGGATTTTGGCGTTTGCTTGTACGGTGGCTCTGGATTGTCAAAACACCTCTCAAAATGCTTGCTACGGATGCGAAAAACGCAGAAAATCGAACCCGATCCAAATGTATTTTATGACGGACTAAAGTTTCGGAGGCAGTGTGTAAACGTGATTGACACCACGTGAGGTCGTATTTATTTTTTAACGTGCGAAACTTTCGGACAAGAATTTAGGACTCAGTATACGAGGACCATAAATTTGCAATTTTGCTTAAAGGTGCAGTGTGTGATTTTTAGCGACATCTAGCGGTTCGGTTGCGAGTTGCACTAATGGTTCCGCCCACTGCTCACCCCTCCCTTTCGGAGAAGCTACGGTGGCTAAAACGGGACAAACATGTCGTCGTCTGAGACAGCAGAGAATAGCCAGAGTAAGCCAAGAGTGTACGTCACTGTTTCTGTACCACAGTCCATTATAAACCACATCATGGATAAAGTTTACAAAGCCATAGTCAGGTGAGGATCAAGGGTCTTAATATATAATATAATAATAGAAATCAGCTGATTGTCTCACAAACGTAACCAGCACACATAGCAAACCCATAATACAGCGAGGGAGGAGAACCACATGAAACTATGCAACTATATATTTTTTCTAACAGGGTAGTAAAAGTTTAGCTGGCTAATATGAGCTGTTACTGTGGCTGAGCTGGTTAAAGCGTAAATCCTTGTTTAAACTCGACGCGTCCGCATGAGCCCAAAGGTGCGCGCGGAAAAAATGACATGATTGTAACAGCGCGCGCCTCCGCATCCCCTAGACACCACTTACTACACACAATAGGCTTTTTTTCTCTGATTTTGAAAACTCTAAGCGATCGACTTAAAATGCTTTCAAGATGCACTTGTCGACTGCGATCGACGGGTTGGTGATTCCTGTAACGTCACTGTTTTACGGTCAATGACAAGAGTGCTAATCAGCTGTCTCACGAACGTAACCAGCACATTTATCCCCACATAGCAAAGCCATAACACTGCGAGGGAGAAGAACTAAGTTACATGAAACAATCCAACTACATATTTTACACCACTGACAAGGGAAAAGTCACTCCTCACGGTGTTTATGGCTAGCTTCTAGCTTTCTGCGGCTTCTCTTTCAAGGTAGTGACGAAACGCGCTCTGTAGCGCTGTGTGTTCGCTGTGTGTTCGCTGTCGGCTACGGTAGAAACATGACGACACAACATGTCGACCTTCATAGAAGGGGGTGCCCGCGGTTATGTAGATATAAATGTCTTATTCTAAGGTAATAAAACATTACGGTTTATTAAGTAAGCTCTTTATACACCACTGAAAACATAGTTATGGATGTCATATTGCATTTCTGCTAATAGATACTCAACATTTTTACACATTGCACCTTTAACTATTTCTAAATTAGAAATATTGAGTATTGGTATGAATACTATATGGACAAAAGTATTGGGACACCACTTAATTGTTGATTTCAGGTGTTTCAATCTGTCACAGGTGTATAAAATCAAGCACCTAGCAGTCTGCATTTACAGAGATTTGTGAAAAAATGTGCTCAATTCATTGATATTGCAAAGGTGGCATCCTAAGTCAGTTCATGAAATGTTGTCCCTGCTAGATATTCCACGATCATCTGTAGATGGTATTTTTGGGAAGTGGAAGTGTTTAGGAACAGCAGAAACGCGTCCACGAAGCAGAAGACCATGTAAAGTCACTGAGCGGGGTTATGTGTCTAAGGCGCATGGTGTGTAGTCGCCAAAAGTCCCCAACGCTCAGCTGATTTTATTGCTGAAGAGTTCCAAACTTCCACTGAAATTAATATCAGCACAAAAAAACTGTGCGGCGGGAGCTTCATGTAATGGGTTTCCATTGGCCAAGCAATTGCATGCAAGACTCACATCACCGATGTGATGGTGTAAAGCACACCGCCACTGGAGTGTGGAGCAGATGAAACATGCTCTGACGGAGAACATTGACTGTCTGACTGCATTGTGCCAGCTGTAAAGTTTGGTGGAGGAGGGATGATGGTATGGGGCTTCTGAGGGGAATGGGTTTATCAGGGGTTGGGCTAGGCCTCTAACTTCCAGTGAAGTGAAATCTTAATACTTCAACATACCAATGCATTGACAATGCTATGCTTCCAAATTTGACGGAACAACTTTGGGGAAGGCCCTTTTCTATTCCAGCATGAAGTCTATAAAGTCATGGCTGGATGAGTTTGGAAGGACTTGACAGGCCCGCACAGAGTCCAGACCTCAACCTCATCCAACACCTTTGGGATGAACTGGAGTGGAGATTGCGAGCCAAGCCTTCTCGTCCAACATCAGTGTCTGACCCCACAAATGCTCTACTGGATGAATGTGCAAACATTCCCACAGAAACACTCTAAAATCTTGTGGAAAGCCTTCCCAGAAGAGTGGAAGCTGTTACAACTGTAAAGGGGGACCAACTCCATATTAATGTCTATGTATTTAGAATGTTATGTCATTAAAGTCCCTGTTGGTGTAATGGTCAGGCATCCCAATACTTTGGAAATGAACCATATAGGGCCTTAAAATATTCAAAGTTAACCAAAACCTAAAATGATAGTAAGAGATCTTTAATTCTTCTCGAGTTACTGTATGCAAACTTCAGGGGAAACAAACTCAAGAAGTGCTTTTTCCCATTTTTTCAACTATCACCATTAGCATATAATGCAAAAAAAGATGGCTAAATTTTACTAACAGACCTACCAGTAAATAATGATGCTGCCATCTTTCAAAAATCATTTTACCCCCTCTGTAATTTGACTCCAAATCTTAGGTGAAAAATGTCATTTTGACAAACATCTTGGATTACTCAATAAATATTCATCTAAGCTTTCTTCTTCATTTATGTATGTCTTTCGACTGGAAAAAAATATGAACACAATAAAAAAAACTGAGCTGGGGACCTCTGGTTGAACAGCACTTATATCAGGTAGCCGGTTCAGAGCTACTTAGGCTAAAAATAAAAGTGCTTTAAGGAACTCATCTATCCCTACCCCTCTCCAGTTTTTTTAAATACAATCTTGCACATCAGCCTTTACTTATTTACTTTTTGATGTTGTTTGTGAGCCCTAACCTAAGATAACATTTATATCACTGTGTGGTATACTTTAAGGTGAAGTACTGCATGTAGTTTCAGTGACACTATTGGCACCCAGCAGAATTACAAAATAAAGCATATTTTCAAACAACCTTACAAACGACACTTCACGATTCGCCTCCAACTCAATCATCATAAATACTGAGTAGAGCGAACGCGAATGTCTCGCTGATAAAAAACCCATCCAACGTATCTGTTTGAGGCGGTTTACACTGGTCACGTCTAAGTAAACATTATAAACGGGTACATTTGTCTTTCAAGCCCATATTAACTCCCTTGTTCTCCGCCGTTTACTGTGCTCTTCCACCCTCACAACATTACACGTCACCACATACTTTTAAGCCCAAAAGACACTGCAACTCTGCTCTGTGTATTCATAAGCTCCTGCCTCAACTAATAAAGCAATTATTTACATATGCACCATAAGGAAACCCACACAGACATATGGAGAACATGCAAAATCCACACAGAAAGACCTCCTGACAACAACCATTGAGCTGCTGAGCTGTGTGTGTGTGTGTGTGTGCGTGTGTGTGTGTGTGTGTGTGTGTGTGTGTGTGTGTGTGTGTGTGTGTGTGTGTGTGTGTGTGTGTGTGTGTGTGTGTGTCATTCCCAAAACACTGAGACATTCTGAAATGAAGGTAAATATTTACATTCAAATTATTATGCTGGTAATTTGTAATAAACAATATTGTATTATTGCATTGCGGCTAGTAGTTTCAAAATTGTATACCAAACTATACATTATGTATGTATAATGTATCTCAAAACTTGCATCATAAATCACTGAACTTAATTGAAACTGAAAACCTTCTCCAAAGATGAAATGAGTTTCTAAGAAGAGCATCACATGTAAAGTACCGTGTGTGAGGCAGTCACTGCTACCGTTTTACCATCTTTGAGATTATATTCACAAGACTATGCAAACATTTTGAATGATAGATTCATAACAAAAATTGCCACTTCTAACAGAGGGCAAACCCATAGTAATTAAGATTCAGCTCTAAATTTAAAAACAGCTGTCAATAATTCATGAAGTTTCACTGAAAGCGGCCAATGCTTGTAAACCACAAGCAACATTTTCATGAATGCTTTTCTTGTTCGCCATGTTAGATCATTACCTTACTGAAGTTAATAGAGCTACACTTGGAAAATCTGCTCACCATAAAGTGGGCTTTCGCCTCCAAGACTGACCAAAAATGCAACGTCAGAGTTTTCTTTCTCATTAAAATCAGAAGAAATAAATGCAATTTGGATGCAGTAACAAAATCATTTTCAGAAAGTTTCATAAATGTATGAGACATCCGAACCCCACATGTAATGTGATGAGGAATCTTTATGAAGTGGTTATCAATTATTCACCTTCTGTCCCTGTGATCCTGGCATTCCTGGATGTCCTGGCTGGCCAGCGGTCCCGGGTTCTCCAGGCTTACCCTTCATTAAAAAGCATAATAAATAAAGTTAAAACATATAAAGATGCAGTTCATAGAGTATGTTTCCTCTTCTTTCAACCACCCGATAAGGTTTAATTTGAATATAATATTTTACCTCGTGCCCTGGAGGTCCTGGTTGACCGGGCCCTCCACTTCCCCCTTTAGTGCCCTAATAATGGAAATTCAAGTTTGGGTGTCAAAGTTAATCAGTAAGAAAGAACTTTTATTAAATATCCCAAAGGCTTGAGAAGAGGCTTGAGGAGTGGGAAAGAAGTGGAAAGGCTTCAGGAGTGCGGTTCTCTTTCATATGTTGGAACGAACGTGCTGCGTAACACGAGAATGAACCTCATTGGTTCTTGCAGAAGCTCAAACGTGCTGCGTAACACGAGAATGAACCTCATTGGTTCTTGCAGAAGCTCAAACGTGCTGCGTAACACGAGAATGAACCTCATTGGTTCTTGCTGAAGCTCAAACGTGCTGCGTAACACGAGAATGAACCTCATTGGTTCTTTGCTGAAGCTCAAACGTGCTGCGTAACACGAGAATGAACCTCATTGGTTCTTGCTGAAGCTCAAACGTGCTGCGTAACACGAGAATGAACCTCATTGGTTCTTGCAGAAGCTCAAACGTGCTGCGTAACACGAGAATGAACCTCATTGGTTCTTGCTGAAGCTCAAACGTGCTGCGTAACACGAGAATGAACCTCATTGGTTCTTGCTGAAGCTCAAACGTGCTGCGTAACACGAGAATGAACCTCATTGGTTCTTGCTGAAGCTCAAACGTGCTGTGTAACACGAGAATGAACCTCATTGGTTCTTGCTGAAGCTCAAACGTGCTGCGTAACACGAGAATGAACCTCATTGGTTCTTGCTGAAGCTCAAACGTGCTGTGTAACACGAGAATGAACCTCATTGGTTCTTGTGCGTCAAGCGAATTTGATTGAGCTTCTGTTTACCATAACTGATTTATGCGTCAATGAACGTTTATATATGAAGAAAAGTCTAAATTCAATCTGTTCATCATATAAAGTGATTGTGTATGTTCAGAAAATTTGGACTAAACCACTCGATTCATATGAACTTTATGAACTATGAAGTGGTAGTTGCGTAGCTGTCAATGGAGGGACAGAAATATCTCAGATTTTATTAAAATATATCAATTTGTATTTTGAAGATGAACGAAAGTCTTGCAGGTTTGGAACGCCATGCGGGCGAGTAAATGACAGAATTTTCATTTTTGGGGGAATTAAATAAAGTTTAGGGTCAGTTATTTTTTAAAGAAATGAATCATTTTAATCATCAAGGATGCATTAAATTGATCAAAAGTAACAGTAAAGACAGTAAATAAATGCTGTTTTTTCTAACTTTGCTAGTAATGATGCTAAAAATTCAGTGTTGATCACAGGAATAAATTACATTTTATATGTTTTTTTTTTATTATTGTAATACTATTTCACAGTAGTGTTGTTTTACTGTTTTTCTGATCAAATAAATGCTGCCTTAATGAGCATTAGAGACTTTTCAAAAACATTAACAAATCTTACCGACCCCAAACCGATTAAAACTTGACAGGCCTCTTTGGAAGTTTTCAGGATATATAGTATATATAGTAGATCTATCAGTGTGCACATATTTCTTTCCTCTGCACTCATTTTCTTTTAAATGAAAAATTCATTTTGTGTCATAAAGTGTTCAATAAGTCATGAAGAAAAGCGTTGTTGGCTAGCATTCTGAAGTTTGATGGTAACTGCACTAGAGATTTGAAATCTGGACACGCTTTGATTTCTCTTTCCTTGGACACAATCTAAAAAACATGATTTGAAGCGGAACAAGTTTGAAGTATCATAACCATTTATAATCTATGGCTTTTGTTCTGCACAATTACACATCACATGTAGCAATCCACATGCATGTCTATACAAATGATGAAAGGCGACTGAGAAAAACGGTGCGAACGGAACAAAGGGATTTCGCATCTGTCTAGCAATTGCTTTGAAATCACTATAATAATGTAATAGTGACTCCAACTCAGTAATCAATACCTATAATATTTTCCATATGAATTACAACATTACAAAGGGCAAATACATGCATTGTGACCTTAGGGCCAGGTTGTCCACTTGAACCAGGCATTCCAGGCAATCCCATCTCGCCCTGTAGAAAGACAAACACAATCAAATACACGTTCTTAACTTTACAGCAGTTAACTTGCGATCAGAATTCACTATTTTGTGTGTGTTTTTTGTTTTTTAGAAACTTGTCTTTGCAATATTTTATCAAAATGAAGTTGTTCTGCTTCTAAAAAGAAGACCTTTTATCTTTTCGGCTGACGTCCAATCGCTATATGGAACGCCCACTTTTCATGATCTAATCAATTCCTGATTGATAAAACCTAGTCCTGGCCTGATTTTCTTCTTGTTGAATATCCTGTTTCACTCAAAAATGGGTCAGTTTGGTGGATTTTATGTCCCCATCAAACAATATGGCATATTTTATGTAAATTGTTACTCAACTTTCATGTTTTCCCCATGCATAGATGTACCCCATTAACAAAAATCGGTAACACTTTAGTTTAGTCCATTTTAGTTTAGTTTAGTCCAACACTTTAGTCCATTATGAGTACTTATAAAGCACATATCAATGCCTTATTCTGCATGAACATTATATATCCCTGAATCCTACCCAATACCTAAACTTAACAACTACCTTACTAACTATTAATAAGCAGTAATTAGGAGTTTATTGAGGCAAAATTTGTAGTTAATAGTTAGTTAATAGTGAGAATTGGACCCTAATCTAAAGTGTGACCAACAAATCATGATGATTGTCACCTAAAATATAAAAAAAACCTCAAAATGAAGGTTACATATACATTTCTAAATGACCAATTAGTATACTAATTATAGACTTATTATCTTTTGAATAGACTTGAAAATGATGTAGGCATTAGTGGAATTTTATTGGCATGGTTTAAATCATATTTATCTGACTGTTATCAGTTAATAAAATCCAATAAAACCCTTCAAAAAGTCTTTAGTCAGGTCAATTCCAAACTTACACAGTTTTCACACTCGGTTCAAAAGCTTGGTCTAAACCGATTATTGACCGCTTGTGATTGGTCGAGGGCTTCGAGTGTGTTTGGGAAATGTCCCGCCCCTTACCATAACCCCCAGTTTTAACACACTACTAGCTAACTCAACCAGGCCCCGCCCCTTTATTCTGCGTATTAATTATTTAAATGAGGAATATTGTGATGTTCGTGACTCAAGACTACAATGGAGGCGTTTCAGGAGTTCAGAAACACTGACACTGATATAGAGAAGAACTCAGAGATTGTTCATGCTCAAACAGCAACATTACAAACTAAAGAGAGATGAGCATGGGAAAAACCACAATAGGTCCTCTTTAAATATTAGGTGCAGGCACACTAGCTTTGAGCATGGATATCAGCAACAGGATATGATGACATTATCTAGGGCTTCTGCTTTTAATAACTATTAGATCACAAATTACAGGCAAATTCAAAATGTCAAATATTCGCTGTATTGAGCCAAGAGATCAATAAGTGACATTGACATTGTCAATTGGTAAAACATGTTTTCATCGTATGCTGTATGAATTCACAGGTTCACAAACATCGGTACGGAGTACAATCTAAATCTCTTCACATGTGCGAGTGTTTCCTCTCTCTCATGTTTGCATGCCATTGCCAACGAATGGAAGCGATTTGAGCACCAGGGTCACCACAATCCTAGCTCACTTGCTCATCGTCCACTGAGAATAGTTCTATTGTCTACAGCATTTGTACAACAAATAATGCGATTGCCTCATTTGTTTAATATATTTCTCTCTCAGTGATGTTTTAAAAGGAAAACACAAATGTATTGCATTATGATTGGATATGATATGATCAGTGGACTTGCAGTGGACATAATCACAAGCATATTAAAAGTTACACTCACTTTTGCATTGTGATTTTTCAAGTATTTACTATATGTTTAGATTTACTTACAGAGTCTCCAGGTATACCTTTGGCTCCTTTTGGTCCTGGCAGGCCATCTTCACCCTTTCAAGAAAGCAACAGATGTACATTTTCTATATGATTAGGATAGCTTAATTTATAGTGAGACTAATAAAAAAAATACACTGGTAGCAAAATTATATCTGGAGACTTTAAGAAAAAGTTAAATGGGTTTTGAATGGAAAAAAAATGGATAAAATGCCACTTAATTATATTTACAATTAATAGAATTAAGTTGTCTATAGGTACAATAACACTGTTTGCACTCATAGTGCCTGAAAATATTGCCTGTGCAATGCATGCAACACTAAGTTTTATAAAAGAGCAAGAAGCATAACCTCTATACAACAACAAATGAGAAATAAACTTTCCACATGAGCAAAGAAAACGGGAAAACATCACCTTAATTCCCATCTGACCATCATTTCCAGGTATACCAGGCATGCCCTGTTAAAAAACAAACTTGCTCAATTCTTGTTTAACAATGAACTACTTAGAAAAATCCCTAGGAGACGTATAACATTCATTAACAGCTTTAAGAGACAGAGTCGTTACACTAATAAGTGCATTTGGAAACCCAGAGAATCTGAGGTACATGGTGAACGCAGAGGGCTTTCCTGGCCTCTGATGAAGCTAACATGCATGGGATGTCTGGATTAATCACTTATGAAATGCATCCCTCCTGGCATCTTGAAGCTTTGTCAGCCAGAGAAAGTAATAGTTTTAACAGGACATTGTTAAATTCGGATACTACTGTAATATGGGGAGCAGCTCCACCGGAGATAACATCAGGCCAACCTACACAATCTGTAGGAGGATTACGATTAAGATCTCAAGGTACTGCAACTTGATCTTTCCTGTTATAATAATTAAAGTGCTAGCATTTTATATAACATTACCATAATCTATAATAACAACAATGTTTTCAAAAATAGATCTAGCAAATAAGAGAAATCAATGCACACACATGGGCATTTGTTGGCTATAACTTTTGGGTTGCTAATTGCAAATTATAACCGCTGTTAACCATTAGCTCTATTTTTAAATAGTTTTCATTGTGTACACTATTATTATTGTAATGTAACTCTATTAATTGTATGCAACTGCTTTATTTGTCTAATAGTTTTCCTCAAATGAGCTTAAAAAATATATAGAGTAAGTTAATAATGTGTTTTACACGATTCTTTAACCATACTGTAAAAGACATCTATGAGTTTAATGGTTTGTCATAACTGCTTATCATTTAAGATTTTTGGATTAAAATATCCAAAAACCACTAGAACAACGATATATATTTTGTTGACTTGTCTACTTAAATTATCCCAAATGTTTCCATGTTTCCAATAATGTTTAAATCCAGAGAAACTATTTGTTATATAGCTCAACACTGTTAGTCTTATTGTTTGAATCTCTTGTTTTCTTGATTTAACGCGAGTAACATGTTTGTACGAAGTGACTAGCATAATCAGAACGTACTTTATTTGTAGTAACAACAATACAGCATTTTCTCCACCATACAATACATTTTTAAAATTAATTGTATGCCATTTAACAACACAAGTCACCTAGCTTTTATTAATATGATATTCTAATATTGATCTATACCTTACAGAGTAATGTTAAGTTTCAACACACTCAAATGTATTTTTAGTATGATTGGTTTGCCCAAGTAAAACAGCGCTACGTTACCCCACAATTTTAATTCGTCAAATAAATTGAGCTGTATGAGTAGTAATTCAGCACTTGTGGCTTTTTCAGTAGAATGAAATAAAATAATGTGAATTTAAGTGATCAAAACGTAACTGTAACAAAGTTCAAATTCAGGGAAGAAAGATGCAGACGTTAGCCTACTTTAATCATAAAATAAACAAACAACAAAGCAAAAGGAGTGGCAGCATTTAAGCATTATAACTTTAGCTCTCGGCCCGCCCTGCTTCATACCACAGTAATGTTAATAACATTTTAATACATTTGCTACACATACATTTAATACACTCTCCATCGGCAGTAGAGGTGAACACGACAACTCCACACTCATTTACTGCATCCTCAAACTACACCTGTTATGGTTTAGTTAGACTTACATACTGTGCCTTTAAATCACAATGTAATCAATCTTGCATTTTACTTTTAGGCAAATGTTACTTCCCTGGAGGCACACCAACAACACACATGTTCAAACTCTTCCTAATCAAACACACCTGACTCAACACAGTAGTAGAGACTGAAGTAGAGGAGTCAGATAAGAGACACATCCAACATGTGTGCCTCCAGGAACAGGGTTAAGAAACAAGACTTTTTTGTTTCAATCGGAATAAAAACAGTTTTAGAGTTTCCCGGTGTTTGTGGATACTTAGCCAGGCTACCACTGCTTATTTTCTTTGTTTTAAAAAGCAGACTTAATATTTACCTATTTAGGAGATGACCAGCACAAAGCCATTGGTTTTATTTATCGAGCAGTAAAAACGCTCCTCCCTGCGGCCGAAACAAGCCGTCTGTGGATGAGTCTGAAACAACGTCCTGCAAACTTCACACACCATGAGTGAGAATTTCAGAAAAAGCTTTCCTTCAACAACAACAAAAGCTTGTTCTGGGTGTCATACGTCTATACGCCATTTTTCCAACTTCTCAATCTGATCAAGTGTTTACATGTCTTATCAAACGGATTAGAAAAGGTTTACATCACCCCTTACAATAACTAGAATCTGGCCAATTTATTCCAATTGACATGGTAACATTTCTTTTTTATTCTGACAATGCTAAAAGTCCAATCACAAACAGATTATCAGAGTCCAAGTAAACGCAGCTACTGATGTCAACAAACCTGACCCAAAGTATTATGAAACACTTCAACATTTGTGCTTCAGACAGGAAAGGCATCTCAGGTCAAGCACCTTGTTAAGGAGATGTGTAAACTGAAATTCACTTTTTGAGGGTTGCTGTTGGATCAGTGAGGGTTAATGTCATATTATGTGACTATGCATTACTTGACAGAGAGCTTACAACCTACAAATGGTGCAACCAAATAAAGTAGGCCTATGGAGTTAGTTACAAACTAGCTAGTAGTTACTAAGCCTCTAGTGTGGACTTGAAGTAAGAAATGACCCTTGGGACACACTGCTCTGCACTTTACACATCTCCCTTATCTAACAACACACTTGCTTCAGATCATCAGCTCATTAGGAGAGGACTCTATCAGACTGTCAGTCCAAATCCGATTTTTGTGCATATCTGATTGATATCCGATCAGATTTAGCTAGTGTGAACGGCCAGAAATCACACGAAATGCGATTTTTAAAAATCTGTTTCGAGCTACATTCATATGTGGTTTGAAATCTTATTTCTGTTTTCCTGTTTGCTGGTGTAAAGTCAGGATGATTTGGTCAAATTTAATCATGTTTTTCACTTAAAATCAGTTGATTTTATTTTATTTCACTTGACAAAATAATATATCGCGCTATATTCTGTCAGCATAAAAAAAGTTATTGATGTGTTAATATATGGTTTTGGGCCTATTTGTCAAGAGAATATTTCAAAGGACTGACTCAACCCAGCCAGCAACAAAATTATAATTTGAAGTTTTAGATATATACATTACTAAGAAGCGCACGTTTTCCCCAAACAGATTGACTGTCATTGAGTCCTGTAATCGTTGCAGGAATGTATCATTATAACATTCTGTTCCAAGCCAATATCTGTGCTCCTTCATTTATGGCCATGAGCGCGTCGCGATCAAATCAACTACAATGGATACACTTGACTTGGTTTATAGACCATAAACCATTAGTATTGTTTATTTTGGCACACTTTTGTCTCTGGTTGTCTTGGGATGACAAACACAAAATTGAGAAAGATTCATTTTTATTGAATGTAATGGTCTAAATGGCCTAAGTGGTCAAAGGCTCTCGTTAATTTACAAAGGGTTCAATTGATCGTACTGCTAAACAATGATGCTTTATAGCTGAATTTAACTCATTTCATAATTGATTAACTTTACAGTTATTGATCGGATTTGAATCAATACTAAACGGACTTCAGCTGAACAATGACGCTCTTTCTAGAGCTCTGTTGAAGCATTGAACTCAGAATCATTATTTTCCTCACTGTAAAAAATCTGTTGAAATCTGTTGTATAAATAAGAGTGACTTGATTTGACTTGGTTGGAAGCGTGCCATATAGAGATTAAAGTACAATTCATGCGCTACTAACAATAGTGTTTTCTTTACAGTAACGCGTGTAATTATAAAAGTGTTACATTTATAATTATTTCATCACGTTGAGCGTGTTGTGTTGTGGGAAACAGTGTCCTCAGATGCATACATCAGATTTCAGCAAATGGAGTAGGTAATCTGGCAAGTCCATGCATTCAGAAAATACAAATACTATTCACAGTAAGCACATTGCATACTGCAATATAGTTGGACATCTTGACCACCCTGTCATCCAGGGACATGCATTATTTTTAAAATAAAATTCTTAACTTTAACAATTCTGCAATAGTTATTTTAAATGTGATTTGTTTAGTCTTGCATTAACACTGTCCTAATATTAATAAGAATATGCAAATTCGTCTCTTCAATTACGTCACGTCCGTAATGTTATGTTCTTCTTCGCGCCAATATTCGGATTCCAACTAGCAGGTAGCAGCGCCCTTTTTATGTTATTACAAAAATGGCTTAATCACTATCTATGACACATTTAAGAAATAAACACATCTAGATAAATTTGAAAGGACGCCTTAACAACTTGACACTTTTGTATTTTGAAATATGAATTACAACGATATTATCAACATCTTAAATTCAAAGCCCAGCCGACTCTGACTTGTTTAGAACAGACGTCAGCCATACAAGGTAAGCTATGGGTATTTTTTTTTAGTCTGGCCCGCCGTGGCATGATTATGCAATTTGCGTTTAATATTTGTGACCAAGGGGTTTTCTGAAATGAACATAAGCCACGTGTACGGATTAGCAATGGCAGGGGGTGTATTCCAAAAAGCAAGGTTAGGTTACTGTCAAACATACCCCGAACTGTCTGTTGATTAAACCAAACCTTGCTCGAGACGAATGCTGGTTCCTCCAAAAACGCGTCCGGGAGTACGTTCATGGTTAACACACCAGACATTCTCAACAGAGCGACGAATCGACGAGTCACCATGAAAACGCGCCATACTACTTATTTCGTTAAATGTAGCTTTACACACCTAGTGCATATCGCCACCTATTTGGTCGTTGTTCAGTCATTTTGACATATTTTCGTTTAATAATCTTTAATCAATGTGAATAAGAACTTTATTGTTTGTTTGATGCTAATTATATAATAAAAAGCAAGACTGATTAAACTAAATACAGTCTGTGCTTGCAAAGATAACATGTCTGTATAAGTTAATTGTTTTAGTCATTTTGCTTCCACATTGCATGAAAGGTAAGATATATCATAGCCTATAT